CAACAGGGTCAACGCGGTGGCCAATGGAGTCAATGTGTTGGCCAGTGGGGTCAACACGGCCAACGGGGTCAACGTGGTGGTCAATGGGGTCAACGCAGTGGCTAATGTCAACGCAGCAGCCAATGGGGTCAACGTGTCACCCAGTGGGGTTAATGTGGCACCCAACGGGGTCAACGCCGTGGCCAACGGGGTCAACGCGGTGGCCAGCGTCAACACGGCACCCAACGGGGTCAACGCGGCCAGTGGGGTCAACACGTTGGCCAACGGGGTCAGCGCGGTGGCCAGCGTCAACGTGGCGCCCAACGGGGTCAGCGTGGTGGCCGCTGGGGTCACTGCAGCGACCAACGGGGTCAACACGGCGGCCAACGGCGTCAACGGGGTCAACGTGGCGCCCAACGGGGTCAGCGTGGTGGCCGCTGGGGTCACTGCAGCGACCAATGGGGTCAACGGGGTCAACACGTTGGCCAACATCGGCGGGGCCAACGCCCTGCCCGTGGCGCCCAGCGGGGTGGGCGTGTTGGCCAACGTCAACGCCGTCACCGTCGCGGCCGGCCCGGCGCCCGGCAGGGTCAACGCCCTGCGTGGCGTCGCCGGGGCGACGGATGGACAGACGGACAGCTGGGGTGATTGACGGCTGGGGTGATGGACAGCTGGGCTGATTGACAGATGGATACTTGGGCTGATGGACACCTGGACAGATGGACACTCGGCCCATTGGACACCTGGCTGAGGGACAGATGGACAGACGGACAGCTGGGGTGATTGACGGCTGGGGTGATGGACAGCTGGGCTGATTGACAGATGGATACTTGGGCTGATGGACACCTGGACAGATGGACACTCGGCCCATTGGACACCTGGCTGAGGGACAGATGGACAGACGGACAGCTGGGGTGATTGACGGCTGGGGTGATGGACAGCTGGGCTGATTGACAGATGGATACTTGGGCTGATGGACACCTGGACAGATGGACACTCGGCCCATTGGACACCTGGCTGAGGGACAGATGGACAGACGGACAGCTGGGGTGATTGACGGCTGGGGTGATGGACAGCTGGGCTGATTGACAGATGGATACTTGGGCTGATGGACACCTGGACAGATGGACACTCGGCCCATTGGACACCTGGCTGAGGGACAGATGGACAGACGGACAGCTGGGGTGATTGACGGCTGGGGTGATGGACAGCTGGGCTGATTGACAGATGGATACTTGGGCTGATGGACACCTGGACAGATGGACACTCGGCCCATTGGACACCTGGCTGAGGGACAGATGGACAGACGGACAGCTGGGGTGATTGACGGCTGGGGTGATGGACAGCTGGGCTGATTGACAGATGGATACTTGGGCTGATGGACACCTGGACAGATGGACACTCGGCCCATTGGACACCTGGCTGAGGGACAGATGGACAGACGGACAGCTGGGGTGATTGACGGCTGGGGTGATGGACAGCTGGGCTGATTGACAGATGGATACTTGGGCTGATGGACACCTGGACAGATGGACACTCGGCCCATTGGACACCTGGCTGAGGGACAGATGGACAGACGGACAGCTGGGGTGATTGACGGCTGGGGTGATGGACAGCTGGGCTGATTGACAGATGGATACTTGGGCTGATGGACACCTGGACAGATGGACACTCGGCCCATTGGACACCTGGCTGAGGGACAGATGGACAGACGGACAGCTGGGGTGATTGACGGCTGGGGTGATGGACAGCTGGGCTGATTGACAGATGGATACTTGGGCTGATGGACACCTGGACAGATGGACACTCGGCCCATTGGACACCTGGCTGAGGGACAGATGGACAGACGGACAGCTGGGGTGATTGACGGCTGGGGTGATGGACAGCTGGGCTGATTGACAGATGGATACTTGGGCTGATGGACACCTGGACAGATGGACACTCGGCCCATTGGACACCTGGCTGAGGGACAGATGGACAGACGGACAGCTGGGGTGATTGACGGCTGGGGTGATGGACAGCTGGGCTGATTGACAGATGGATACTTGGGCTGATGGACACCTGGACAGATGGACACTCGGCCCATTGGACACCTGGCTGAGGGACAGATGGACAGACGGACAGCTGGGGTGATTGACGGCTGGGGTGATGGACAGCTGGGCTGATTGACAGATGGATACTTGGGCTGATGGACACCTGGACAGATGGACACTCGGCCCATTGGACACCTGGCTGAGGGACAGATGGACAGACGGACAGCTGGGGTGATTGACGGCTGGGGTGATGGACAGCTGGGCTGATTGACAGATGGATACTTGGGCTGATGGACACCTGGACAGATGGACACTCGGCCCATTGGACACCTGGCTGAGGGACAGATGGACAGACGGACAGCTGGGGTGATTGACGGCTGGGGTGATTGACGGCTGGGCTGATGGACAGATGGATGCTTGGGCTGATGGACACCTGGACAGATGGACACTCGGCCCATTGGACACCTGGCTGAGGGACAGATGGACAGACGGACGGCTGGGGTGATTGACGGCTGGGGTGATGGACAGCTGGGCTGATTGACAGATGGATACTTGGGCTGATGGACACCTGGACAGATGGACACTCGGCCCATTGGACACCTGGCTGAGGGACAGATGGACAGACGGACAGCTGGGCTGATTGACAGCTGGAGCGATGTGCCGATAGAGAGATGGACATGTGGTGTGATGGACAGACGGACACCTGGCTGATGGACACCTGGGCTGATTGACAGCTGGAGTGATGGACAGATGGACACTTGGCCAATGGACACCTGGCCCGATTGCCACCTGGGCTGATGGACAGATGGACACCTGACTGATGGACAGATG